AGGCCGGGATCCAACGGGTACGGCAAAAGTTCTCCGCTTGCTGCTGAGAAGTTTCCAATGATGCATGAAATGTTTTTCGCACCGTACTGCGGATCATGCGTTCAAGAGATGTGTGTCCCTGTCCGTTACTTGCAACCAGCCTGTAGAATGTGCTTTAGCCGCTCATTTCTTCTGGCTCTGAGATGAACTGATAGAACAGCTTAAATGCCTTCCTGCCAAGAACCAAACCTGGGTAGCAGGGTTTTTTGCTCTTTTTCGCGGGACACACTTCCAAAAGAATTCGGGGGAGCGCAGCCCAGGGGTTTTCACAAGGTCGGGGCAGGGTTGACACTGCGGCTGAAAATTAAACAGAAATGCAGAACGTAGGGTCTTTCTTTTCTTCTTGCATTAAACATGAGTACCACTGGGTGTACCTAGGTTTTACCTCCCCTTTTGAGACGAGTTTATTAAGGGTTTTTCAAATATACACAAGCCCAAAATCGTTTTTGGGAAAATTTTCCAACCCACCGATTTATAAGGGACTTTTTTCTGCCCCTGTTTAAACAAAAATTTCCCGGGGGTTCCCGAAGGGAGCATGTTCGACCCCCTGGTTTTTGGACCCATTCCAGCAGTTCGAAATTTTCCCTTTCTTGTCTAGGTTTTAATTGCGGGAGCTTCGGAAACATCCTGGCGGGACAGGATCAAAACGGGCCCTTCGGGTGGAAAAATCCCCAGAATTAAATTAGGCCAGGTTCCTTTAAAATGGTCCAATTTCCCCTTAAGGTGCCAAGGGTTTTATGGTTCAAGCGACAGTGTCGGCTCTCCAGAGTCGCACCCCTTTGGTTTTAATCCTTTTTGCCCAAAATGACAAAACTAGGTTGTATTTGGAGAAAAAAAATAGGTAGTCGGGGAATTCTTGGGAATCCGAGGTGTCACTTACTAAAAAGTCGTCGGGCCCTTAATGAATTGTACCATTTTTCGAGAACCTGTGACCTAAAATATTCATTCGGATTGTGCCAAAATGAAGATCCTGGTTCCCCCCGGCAAGGCCTTCTTAAAAGGAAAGCCCCAAAGCCTGGGTCCCCGAAAACGGCTGAGAGCAAGGAGAATTGGCTGTACCTGCGGAGTGCATTAAGGAAGAAACCCGGGCAGGTGTTTGAGAAGAAAAGAAAAGGTTGTTGTGAACGGAGGCAGGGGTAACAATGGCCTCCAACAACAAACAACGAAAGGGAATTGAAATGATTTAGAGAGCTTATGTGGGTGTAATAAAGCGTGTTGCTTGTCTCAAGGGGATGGACAATACGTTTAGAGCCAGATTACGTTTATGGTTGAAGGAGAAGGTGCACAAAGGCAAGTTTGCCCCAAACCCCTTTTTTTCCCACTAGCAGTGCCTGATCTGTCAAGAAACAACCGTGAATCGATGGTCCGCTAAAGGGGCCATCTTTGACCTTTTTTCCATAACCCTTTCCAAACCCCCTGCTTCCCCGCTTTTGCCCTTCCCCATCAGAAGGCATTTTTCCCTTTTTCTAAATTTTACGACCAAAAGGGGGCGGCAAAGAATTTTGTAAGGGGTAAAAAAGGGCAGGCCCTTTGGACCACGCTAGATACCCCCGGGAAGCAAAAACCTTTGCCCTTTGTTTTGGGAGGGACCAAACTACGACCTGCCCGCATCCCCACAGAAACCCTAGCCAGGGCCCCTGTTCCACAAACTCTTCAGCACCTGGTAATCCGCATCTTTCGGAATGCCCTTGGGGGGGCCTTTCCCATTTTCCCCAGGCCCAAAAGGGGTTCCCGGGGTTTTCCACTCCCGGGAACGCCATCTTAAAAAAAGGCCGGGAAACCCCGAACCAAGGGGCTCCGCGGCGGGGCAAAGGGGCATTGGCTTTTCCGGGAGTTGAAAGCCGGGAACAAACGGGGGGCAAAGCCCTTTTGGAGAAGAAAAGGGAATAAGAAATGTTTTTGCCAGGGGGGGGGGTTTACTAATGTCCCTCCAAAAAATCCGGTGAAATTGCAAAACCCCCTTAGAGGCTTTGGGGCCCACTGTTAAAAGGTGAACCTGTACAAAGGGGGGAGAGAACGAACGGAGCCCCCAACTGGTAGCGTTGTGGGATGGTCAGGGGGCACGAAGGGGAATTTGCCCCCCACCCCCTTTTTTTTTTTCCAGTCAGTCCTGTTAATAGCACCCACCGGGGAAACCCCGGGGGGTTGGTGAAAACCTTCTTTTGAAATTTTTAATTTCCAGGAATCGTTCCAAACCCCCTGTTTTCCCCCAACCTTTTTCTCCCTAGAAGGCTTTTTAAGTTTTTTTTTCAAACCTTCACTATAAGCCAAAGAAAGAGGGCAAACACTTCTGTACTTTTAAAATTTGGGGGAACCATTTTTACCCGCTCGTCACAGCACCCCTGGGCTTTTCTCCGGGGGCGGGCCTTTCAGGCGGAGACCTCGTCCAATTTTTTGGCCCCCGGGCCCTTAACATGCCCTGGGGGCCAGTTGCCCGTTTGGGGCCCCTTGAGCCCTGTTTCCCGGGAAGTGAGCCCAGGGTTTTCGATTTTCCACTCCGGAAAAATTTTTTGAGGACGGGGGAGCCCCTGCCGGGGAAAGTTGGGGACTTTTGAGGAACCAGAACAGAACTGCCTGGTCTGCGGGAAAGGACCCCGGGAGTCGCTCCCTGGGAGGGGCCCCTTGGTTTGGCCTTGGACAAAAGCCGGTTTGGATAAAGGGCCGGGGGTTTAAACTTTAGTCATGCAAGGGGGAACCCGGTTTAAGGGAAGGTTTTTAAAAAAACAAAAGCAGTGGGCCTAAGGGCCCCAAACTTCTAACCTGCCCAAATTTATCCCAAAAATTTTTCCAAAAAATAAGTCTGCGCCACCACCCCGAACCTGCTGTCCAAAACAACCACCGGTTTTTCGCCTGGAAAAGACCCCATTAGGGTTTTTTAAATGCGGGGGGTTTCCCGAACCCCTTTGGGGTGTGGGTTAACGGGCAGAAGGAAAAAAAAAAAAGGGGAAAAAGGAAGGGGGTAAATTTAATTCGGGGGGAAAACGCAAGCAGGGGGCTGCCCAAACCCTAAAGTACTTAAGTTGGAACGGCTTCTTTTGCGGAAAAAAAAAACCAAAGAGTTTTTTCCGGGAGTGTTGGTTGAGTGTAAAAGCTAGGTTGCCGTTGTACTTCAACCTGACCTTCTGGCCTCCTTTTTCCCGGGAAAATTTTGGTCCCGGCCTTGAACAGCCTGGGCCCGGAGTCCCCCTTTGGGGGAAACCCCGGCCCCCTGTAAAGAAGTGAGACAGGCTGAAATTTTTCCGTGACGGAAAACTTGTGGGGAGGGCAGGGGGTTTGGCTGAAAGCTGGAAACGGGAAGAACAAAAGAACGCCCTGGCGAGCCCAGTGGGTAGTCGTTTTTTGGAAACAGGGGGCTCCTGGCAAAAAACGAAGGGGTAAAAGCACCGTTCTTGTCACATTTGACCTTCTCCAGCCAAATCCTCAAAAAAAGGGAAAAAGGTTAGGTTTTCCTCCCTGAAAGCAGGTTAACCGGCTCCAACTTCCTTTAAGCCACTAGTCAAATTTCATCAACCCCTTATTTTTAACCAAAATAAGTACTTTACCCCCCCTGAAACCCCCTTTTTTTGGCTTCCCCCCTCTCGATTGGTTTTGCTAGGAATGTGTCCTTAGAATCGGGTTAACAATCCTTGTTTTCCCCCACAACCCCTTTGGGGGTTTCTTGGTTCTTCCCCTTTGGAAAAATTTTGGGGTGGGGGAAGGGGGTTTCATTTTAAATCCAGAACAAAGGCAGGCAGGGGTTCAAATCCAATTTCTTAGGGCCCGAACCAAAGCTTTAGTTTTCAGGAAAACAAAACCGGCCGCTTTTTAGGTCCCAGGGTCGGTTGTGTAAAGCTCAGCTTTGGTTTGTTTTTCCAAAATACTTCACTTCCGGGTTTTCCCTTTAGCAGTTGGTTAAAATTTAATTGTCAACGGTTTAACCGTTTAAGTTTTAAAAAAGTTATGGGCCCCTAAAGGGGAAATGTCCATTTACTGTGCCACTCCCAGAATGGGGTCTTTTCTCCCCCCCAGGGGTTTCGGGGGGAAGTTTTGCCCCAAATTGCCTCCCGGGGGGCAGCGCACCCCCCCTCCGGGGAAAAAGGTTTTTTCCCCAGGGGAGCGAGGGCGGAAGGAGGAACCTGCTGCCGGGGGGGTCCGTTCCCCGCAGAAGGTTTGGGGCGCGCCCGAAAAAATCCCCGGGCTGCACCCTTTTGGCCATTTTGCGAGGGGGGGCTGGGGGAGTCCAGGGGCGGGTTGTGTCCCCTCTTGGTGTTTTCCCAAAAGGGGTGGTTTGGGCCCAAAGGGGGTTTAAAAATAGCGGGGCCCCGGGGCCCCCGGACCCCCCCCGGGGCCCTAGGGGGGGGCCCCGCCCCATTTTGGCCCGATTGTGGCGGTTAAGTCATTGGGTCTTAAAGACCGTGCCGGGGGGCCCCCCCCTTTTCCCCCCACACCTTCCTCCAAAACCCGGGTTGGGGCGCCCCTCCCCCGGGCCCGGCCACCCCCCACCGGGGTTCCCAGCTCCCAAGCTTCCGAAAATCGGGGGTTGAAGCACCGGGGCGGGCCCCTATGGGCCCCAAAAAACCAGGCCCCTTTTGCCTAGCCCCCCGGGGAACCCCCCCGGGGGGGGGGCCCCCGGGGGGGGGGGGGGGGGGGGGGGGGGGGGGGGCCCCCCCCCCCCCCCCCCCCCCCCCCCCCCCCGGGGGGGGGGGGGGGCCCCCCCCCCCCCCCCCCCCCCCCCCCCCCCCCCCCCCCGGCCCCCCCCCCCCCCCCCCCCCCCCCCCCCCCCCCCCCCCCCCCCCCCCCCCCCCGCCCCCCCCCCCCCCCCCCCCGGGGGGGGGCCCCCCGGCCCCCCCCCCGGGCCCCCCCGGGGGGCCCAAAACCCCGGGGGGCCCCCCTTTTTTTTGGGGGGGGAAAAAAAAAACCCCCCCAAAAAAAGGGGGGCCCGGGGCCCGGCTGGGGCCCCCCGGCCCAAATTTTTCCCCCAGGGCGGGCCGACGGGGCCGGGCGTTGCCCGGCGGCCGCTGGAGCGCGAGTGGCCAGTGCGTCCGTTGTCGGGGAGCGCCATGGAGGGCCAGCGGCTGCCCGCTGCTCTCAACCCCAGCCATTTCCCGGCCAAGCTCTGGGAGCTGGTGAACAGCCCGCGCTGCGGCTCCGTGCGCTGGGATGCCCGCGGCGAGGGGCTGCTCATCGACCAGCGGCTCTTCGAGCGAGAGCTGCTGGGCGCGGAGGCGGCCGGCGACGGGGCGGCGCTGGACGGCGAGGTCTTTAAGACCCGGAACTTCGCCAGCTTCATCCGCCAGCTGAACCTCTACGGGTTCCGCAAGCTGGGGCCGGGGCCCGGGCCCCTGCAGGACCCGGCGGGGGGCGATGGCGGCAGCTCCGCCGGGGCCCTGCTCCATTTCTACAGCCCCCATTTCCGCCGCGACCGCCCCGAGCTCCTCGCGAACCTCAAGCGCCTGACGAGGGCCAACAAGGCGAAGCTGGCGGCCGGCCTGGAGCTGCCCAGCCGCCCGGCACAGCGCTCCCAGCTCCCGCCCTCGACGCTCGGCGAGGCTGCCAGGCCCGGTGAGCTGGGGTGGCTCCGGGCTGCGGGGCCCCGAGAAGCACTGGGTGCTGCGGGGTTTGTAGATCGGCACCCCCGCAGGCAGCAGGCTTGCCTGACCTTGCTGGCGGCCGCTCAGCTCCGCCGCTGCGGGAAAGCCGTTGTTGTTCATGGAGGGAGATGCGCTGCCGGCAGGCACGGGGAGCGAGGTCCGCGTGTGGTTCCGTCTGCCCCTCGGCTGCAAGACAGCCTCCGTCGGGGGCTGCAGTAACAACACCCTCACCCTGGCTCTGTGGAGCTGGCACAGCCCTACCAGATGGACGTTACTTCTCCTTGGAGGGTTGCTCCATAAGCTGTCGTTAAATCTGTGTGAAGCGGTGGGTAACCGTGTGAGGGCAAGTACCATTTCATGAAGCCGTAACTGACTGAGAGAGGAAACCAGGGAAGATGAAAGGGAATATCTTGGAAGTAACAAAACGGCAAAGCCTGAGCTTTTTTACACTCAACCGGTTGAGCTACCTGGAAAAAAGCTGGCTTTGGTTTTGTTTTCCTTGACAAACTGAAGGACTTGTGATCAAGTGCTCTCAGAGTCACGTTTAGGATTTGGACATTGCCCCTGCCTTGGCTGCCCCTGTGCTGTCCGCACTGGAGTTCGGTAGAGCCCCGCTTCACCATTCCCCCTTTATTTTACCTTACTGCCTGATGTAACGCGCAGCACTTCCTAAACGGCTTGTGCCGGTTTGGTCAGCTCCTGCGCATTTTGATTTATAATAGCGCATTTCTAAGTAGCGATCACTTGCTCCTGAGGGTTTCAGGAGACTGAATGCTCCAGAGATGGCTGTGTGTTGGCACAGCACTGATGTTCCTGTGTGTTCAGGTGGTAGTGCTGCAGCAGTTACTGTATGTTTAGGTGTAAGAATAGAGTCTGTTTGTGGATGAAGCATATTGGAGCAAAGGTGGTCTTCCCAGGGAACGTTGTGGAGCCTTGGCTCCTCATCCTGCCTTTCAGGGCTAGTGAAAACTCCTTCCCTTAGTCCTTGTTTCCCTTTGTTTTGCAGGACTGGTGACTGCAGGAGAGGCTCCTCAACCTTGTCATCCAGACAGCTGCTTTCCGCCCTCCAGCACAGCCGCCTCATGCCAGGAGCCCCCTGCTTTCCAGGCAGCGACTTCCCAGCAGCCTCCGGTCCCTTCCAGACCATGGCAGGGTTCTGTTGCGTGGCTGCCATGGCACGGGGCTCTCCCAGCTTTCCCAGGCCAGGGGGCTCCCTTTCCCGTCCTCCACAAGTGTTGCACGGAGGTCACGTACACTCTGCAGACCGTGTGCTCACTTCTGCCGCTTCAGCGAGGGGCTCCAGCCGGTGCTGCCCTTCCAGAACGGGGCAGCTGCGCGTCTCCAGGGCAGTGCTTGCAAGGCCGGGATCCAACGGGTACGGCAAAAGTTCTCCGCTTGCTGCTCGAGAAGTTCCTGCCAAGTGATGCATGAAATGTTTTTCGCCAGTGCTCTGTCACTGCGTGTGTATCTGACGCGTGTGCTCGCAAAGAGATGTGTGTTCCCTGTCCGTTACTTGCAACCAGCCTGTGACAGAATGTGCTTTAGCCGCTCATTTCTTCTGGCTCTGATGAGATGAACTGTATCAGAGACAGGAGAGCTTAGAAATGCCTTCTCTGCAATGAGCAGGGGAGGACAAAAGCGTGTGGGTGAAGCAGGTGTGTGTGGAATCTTGATTCAGCTGGAACACTTGAAGTATTACAAAAGAATTGGC